GGGTCATTATTGGGTGACCTGTTAAAAATCAGTTAATAACAGGTTCTTAACGGGTATACACGCAGGTAACACGTGGATAATCTGTTTCGACCTGTTAAGAAAAAAATTATTTTGATAATTTTAAAGTTTAATTACTAAAAGATTTATTATAAAATACAATAGCCATATTAATATATACAATATATTCTATATTAAAAATATAGTTTTGTATTATTATTCTATATAAGTTAAAAAAAAAAAAGTTTTTGTCATTATTTATTTTTGTTATAAGAGTTCCTTATTATCATTATTAGGATAAATTTTACTTAGCATGTTGTTGTCCAAAATTAAAATAAACTAGTATAGTATTTGTATAGGCAAGAACTAAGAAGACATACATACAAGTATGAAAAATGTGAAAGAATATATAAACACTTGTGATTCATCATTATTCGTCCACGAGTAGATAATGGTTACACTTACATTATCGTTTAGATTTTTAAAATCCTCCAAACCCTCATGAATAATGTTTTTTATTTGAGGGCAAAATTAATAATAATTATTGTATAAGCGTAAAAAAATTTAAAAAAAATATACAATCGCTCATAGTGACAAGACTTTCATGAAGGGGTCAGCTTCGAAATCCAACACTACAATCCATAAACCTTAAATTTATATTTAATCGTCGATTGTCATTTATGCTTTATTCTTCTTACTGAGTTTCATTTTCAAAATTTTCTTTTTTGAGAACATGATCATTTGGCGAATGTAAGAAGATGAACGATTCAAATCTTTGATATCACGTTTCGATAGTTATGGTTAACTGAAATATGAGTCGATGTATAGTTTGTAGAAACTTTATAAACATCAATCAATATTTTCACTAACCGTAAAACTCTGAATATAATACCAACGATCCAAACCGTTCATCTTCCTGCATCCTTTAATAAATCATTTTTCAAAAAAGAAAATACGGAAAAACCAAATTTGATGAGAAAAATGAAGCGAAAATGTAAACAACAATCAATGGTTAAATTTTGATCTATGATTTATATGATTGTAGTAGCGAATTTCGAAGTTAAGCTATTCACGAAGGTTGTAAAGCTTGTCATTATGAAAGTTTATATATTCTTTCTATGTGGAAAGCCTCACTGAAAACATCATCAGTATAACTCTTGAAGACAATATATCAAGCCAAAGTTCCAATACTGTTTCCCATGGTGATTGAGGAAAATTGAAGGGTTTGATTTGAAGAAAATGTGCAAGGTTCCAATGTTCTAATGTTCCAATGTCCTTAATTTTGCAAATCTTTTGAACATTTGATATTTTGTAATGTTCTAATGTTTTTTTTTATTATGCTCTTATTTTGGGTATGTAAATATATACTTAAAAGAAAAATGCGTTTTTATGTTTTGGATGTGACAATATGACATGTATATATTTATTTAGTATTATGTTTTTCATTTGATAATTTATTGGTTTAAAACATATTTTCCTTTAACGGGTAACGGGTCAGGTCATATTATTTGTTAATATTATCGGGTCAGGTCATTTTACCCGTTTATTTTAACAGGTGTTACACGACATGGCCCGTTAAGATATTAGGTATGACACGAAAATAATACGAACACAGAAAATACGACACGAATGCCAGGTCTAGCAGAAGTAAACCTGCAACCATAGTTGGAACACCCAGAGCGGGCCATTCTGGTGTGGATCAATTCTCCTTACTGAAGCTTCGGCTAAGCACCGAGAAAGGTTGGCGATGATGGCTGGGCTAAAGGCCAGGATGTAGCCATTGACATATTCTTGGCCAGACACTTATTCGACTTGGTACAAAAAGTGAATTTATTGTACCAGTAGAACAAGAAGGCTTTGTGTTCCCTCTTCTTGAGATTTTCCCTGTTTGAGCCAGCGAAGTGGGTGATCAGGGTATTGTAATTGAATAAGTTTTTGTACAGTGTACACATCGTCTTTCGACAGTTCCTGATCGTTCTTTATTAAGGTTTTAACGGCACGCTTGTCGAAGACCGTCTTCAAATCCAAGTCGAATTGATATCGAGAAAGAGCGGTATCAACTGGAAGACCAGAAGGGGAAGTGCCAAGTATGGCCTTGACATCCAGCATGGTCGAGCCAATAGGGCCGAGAAAAATGACCATGGTGTTGGTGGCCAAACACCAAAAGCTTATGACGGTTATTAAGAGCTCTCGATCCATGTTGATTTCAATGGTCGAGAGTTTAATGGCATCGAATATGCCGAGAGTCTTCCATTTACCCTCATAGTGAGGCTACATCTGAGTAACTAAAGCAGCCCAGGCCACGGGGGTTGAGGGCTAAGCTCCTTGGGGTTTGGTTGACTTCCACTTCGACCAGTCGTACCTTTGAATTAAAGGTTCTCCTTGAAAAGAGGTCCTAAAGTCTGGTGGGAGGCGCTCGAGTCATCCTTGGATCGAATGGTTTTGATGGAGTTCCGATCAATGATGTCTCGACACTTGTTGTATTACTCGATAAACTTGGTGATGAAGGTGTTGGTAGCCATTGATGAAGGCTTGAAGGTTTTCTGGGTTTCAAAGTTTGATTTCTGGATTTGAGAGCAAATGGTAAGAAACTCTGAAGTTTTGAAAGTGTAAAAGGTCAAGTGAATTTGAGCTGGGTAGTTATAGGCATTTGGGAAGAAGATCAACAATTTGATTTTAAAAGAATAAAGGGTAAATTCGATCAAAGAGTTTTATAATCATGACAGATATTCGAAGATCCAGGTGAAGAGGCAGAAAAATTCATGAATTGAGGCTGCACGATTGCGTGTGACGGCAAGTTTTATGGCGAATGGACGTTTCAGTGCCTCTACGCTTTGACGTCACTATTGAGGAAGGACAAGTGGGTTGAGGAACTACCATGTGGTAGGGAATCTGACAGGTTTAAAAGATCGTGCAATTGTGTTTAATAAATGCGCCTGGGTAGAACCTAGTCATTTTTGGCCTAATAGTACTTATCTAGAATCTTGTTATGGGTCGTCCAGTCAAGGTCGGTCGAATCCTATTACGAAAAGGTTTGGTTTAGATAAGGGTGAGTTAGTCGAATCGTAATGCAATAAGGAGTCTTAAAGCTAAGGATGCTGAGAATTAGGGGATAAATCTGGATTGTTAAAGAGCTTGGTTTAAAGTCCTATAGGAATTAGGATTGGCCGAGACCTAATCGGATTGGGTTGAAGAGTTCTAATCCTAGTCCATTTCTAGCTCGGCCATGAGGGGATTCGCTGCTATAAATAGAGAAAGGAGTGCATCATTCAAGTCCCATTCAATTCAACACACAAATTGCCCTACATAAAACTACTCAACAACCTTTGAGATTTTATCCTCTCCCCATTTCTTGTCGCCAACACATCTTCAGTTTGGATAAATAGCACTGTGAAGGCAACTGGTGACATCTTCAGTTTGGATAAAACAGCATTGTGAAGGCAACTGGTGACATCTTCAGTTTGGATAAATAGCACTGCTTCAAAAGCAACTAGTTATTTATCCAAGTCTCGGTCGACAAGGATTTTTGAGTCCTTGTTGGTAGAAGTCATCTCATCAGCTTTCTCGGCGAAGTAAGGTGTTACAGGTTAATAGGCTCGGCACGTTGAAAATGGTCAAGTCAGAAAAGCTACAAACTACCTTTTCAGGGACGAGGTAAACTAGTGTCAAATTTAAATGGTCCACTGGTCATTAGATTAAGGAAATGTATGTATGTAAGTTCGATTGTCTGGACGAGGTAAACTGGATCTCAACCATCGAATAAATGTTTGTATGCAAGTTCAATTGTCCATGAAAGACAATAAAGGTTTGTATCTTTATCATCAAACTTCATCTTCATTGTAGACATCGAAATTTTGGTAAATAAATGTTGACCGAGAAATCAAAATTTCAACGTTCACGTGTCACATAAATTTTACATGTAGCGTGTGACTCAACGAAAAATAAAAAAGAGTCGGAAAAGTCATCAAACAGGACACGTGTCAACACCTGGCAGAAACGACTTATTTCATCTGGAATATTATATTCAAAATTAGGCCTTGGAAATTTCTATAAATAGAAGACTAATTCATTCATTTAGGGGGACAAATTCATAACCAATTGATATTACATCAAAACCTTGAAGCTTTGAAACTCTAAAGCTCTCAAGCAAATTCTGAAGGATCAAGAAAAATCTCTTCGTTCTTCGCCAAATCCACCTTCAAGCTCAAGCCCCGACGGCCCCTTGAAGAACTTCCACCAATTCAAGATCAAGCCCCGACGGCCCTTGAAGAAAGTGTTCATCGTTCATCATCTGTTCATCCTAAGACCAAGCCCTAACGGCCCTTTGGATCAACAATGTCGACAAATCCACACATCCAACCGTCCTTCAAGATCAAGCCCAAAAGTCCTTGAATATCCATTCATCACTGTTCTTCAAGATCAAGCCCAAAAGCCCTTGAATATCCATTCATCAACTGTTCATCAAGATCAAGCCCCAAAGGCCCTTGAAGATCCGTTCATCAACAGTTCTTCAAGATCAAGCCCCAAAAGGCTTGAAAAAAGCGTTCATCGTTCATCCTAAGATCAAGCCCCAACGGCCCTTTGGATCAACAACGTCAACAAATACACACCTTACGGAGATCGAATCAGATGATCAAATTTGAGAGAGATTGTAACCCAAAATCATCAAATACAAATATTATTTTGTGCACGTGTTCTTGTCTCGTTCATTTCAGGAATTTCCGTGTTTACATTCATATTGTGAGGTTTCTAATGGTCCTTTTTTTACATGCATGATTGAGTCAGACCCATTGTGAGGCTTATCAACACTAAGAGTGTGGAGAAGTAGGCTAAATCTCATAATGTGTTAGCAATAAAGTAATTCAAATTTATCTTTGATGAAAATCAAATCTAAATTTTTTTACTTATAAGTGAAGATGAATACGTGACTTGTTAAATTGAAAGTTGAAGGGGGCAAAATAAAGGGGGCAAGTTGGCGCATGCCCCCAAGTTAAGTTAATCTTGAGACCAAAATGACACAGTTTTAAACGTGACACGAAACAACGGCGCAGAAACGATTTTCTTCTCCCTCTGAAAACAGGCGTAGACTGCGTTTCACCGCCTCAGTTGCAGGATTCAAAACGAATCCCTAGCTTACTGCAGATTCCGATTGATTGCAAATATCGAGAAGAAACAGAGAAACTCAATTGCAATTGGGGAAGAAGAACAGCCAAACCCTAAGTATCGATCAGTAAATTCTGTATCCGTCCACAATGGGGAAGAAGCAGCACAGCAAAGATCGAATGTTCATAACTAAAACGGAGTGGGCCACAGAATGGGGCGGCGCCAAAGCCCAGCCCACCTCCACTCCCTTCAAGCGCCTCCCCTTCTATTGCTGCGCGTACCCTTCTCTCTCTCTCTCTCTCTCTCTCTCTCTTTCTCTCTCTCTCTTTCTGTCTATATATATATATATATATTGCACATTCTTTGTTTTTTTACTCAATTTCAAGTTTTGTTTGTTAAATTTGGTGCCTTTCTTTAATTTTTGTTGCAGGCTTACGTTTACGCCTTTTGAAGATCCAGTGTGCACCCCAGACGGCATTGTTTTTTATATACTGTGAGTTTTTCTTAGTATGAGATTCTTGGACACGTTTAATTTTTTGGGTTTTTCATTTAGCTTCATTGTTTTTGCTGAGCGGAAATTTTCTGTGACATGAATTTTTTTTTCTTCATTTTTTACAAAATGGGTGCAGGAATATAATTCCATATATCAGAAAGTATGGGAAGCATCCTGTTACTGGAGTACCGCTGAAGCAGGAGGAGCTCATACCGCTAACGTTCCACAAGAATTCTGATGGTTTGTGTTTGTTAACTTTACTTATGTGTACGTTTATTGAATTATGTATTCATTGGATAGAGTAGATAGGGGTTCATGTGTGATACGAAAAAATGTGGGATAGTACTACCTGTTTTAGTTAGTTGAAGTTGGAATATAAGTAAAACTGGAACTACGGCAGTCGATCGATGTTTATTTTTTCAGTCTTGTGTTGACAGAAATGAGCTTAGAATTTTTTGGTGAAAAATTCATGACAGGACAAGTCTTATCAGAGTGCATAAATTGGTTGAAGTTGTAATGGAAATTTCTCGCACATCTCCAATCAGCAAGTTGGAGAATGTTTATAGATGTATACATAAATTTTTGCATGAATTTAGTGGTTTATCGTTAATAACCATAGACAATGTAAAATAAGAAATTGCTTCCATGAGGTGAAGTGATTGCTTTCCCAGTTTTAGAACCAATATAACTATGTAAGTTTTGCATAAAGGAACATAGCAGAAAGTCATAAACCGTTAAGTAATTGCATGTCCAGTTAGAACTTTGAGGTTAAAAGTGTTTCTGGTACCCCTTTGGTCAAACCAATTTCTACTACTTTGCTGTTGATAGAAACCTTATTGAAACTAGTTTCTAAGCACAGTTTTATATTTTTGGGTAAGCCCATCATTCAGAATCGTTATGATGGATATTTTTTTAACAATTAATTGATCTTGTTGTCAACCTTTGTGGGGGATATTATCAGCATAAATTTTCATAGTTTCTTCCTCACTATATGAGTATGTCAGCCAGAGGTTTCTTGTTTGCTTCCCCATTTTTATACTTCTTACTTGGCAGCTCATAATTTGTTGTTTAGGTATCTTCTCTTCGATGATTGAAATGTTTTTTTCACTTGTTGTGTAGGAGAGTTTCAGTGTCCTGTTTTGAATAAAGTTTTCACTGAATTTACACACATAGTGGCTGTGAAGACAACAGGAAATGTCTTCTCCTATGAGGTTCGTTTTCTAGCTATTATATAGTTTCAATAGTGTAAATTATATTTAGATTGTATATTATACATACAGTTGTGCTGTATACTTTATTATCTCGCTTTGGCTTTCACTTTTTAGGCAGTTAAAGAACTCAACATCAAGACCAAGAATTGGAAGGAGCTCCTCACAGATGAACCATTTTCCAAGGAAGACCTGATAACCATTCAGGTACAATTTTGAGATAAATCCTGTTTCTTGTTTTATCAATATGTTGCAAGTTCTTGTTTCTTGTTTGAATATCACATTGGTATTTATGGATGCTCTCTGCAGAATCCCAATGCACTTGACAGCAAGATCCTTGTGGAGTTCGATCATGTTAAAAATAGTCTGAAAATTGATGATGAAGGTGAGCTAGAGGCTTCATTACCCTTGTGGGTCAACTATAGTGTTATTTTTCTTGTAATAATTTCTATTTATTTTCTTCTTTTTCATTTCATCTCTTCTTTTTTTCAGATTTTAAGAGAATGAGTGCGGACCCTACCTATAATATAAATGTAAATGGAGATATCAAGCAGATGCTCAAAGAGCTTGGAACTGAAAAAGGAAGGCTAGCTGCACTGCATGGAGGAGGTGGCAGCAAGGCACAAAATGAACGTGCTGCTGCACTTGAAGCCATTTTAGCTGCAAGATCACGTATTAAAGAGGATCCGAAATCAAAATCGAATGGGGAGGTGAAAGCTCAGGCATATAGTATTGTGGATGCTGCTTCTGCATCTGTGCATGGAAGAAGTGCTGCTGCCGCCAGAGCCACATCTAGTGACAAAACGGCTGCCCGAATAGCTATGCACAAGGCTGGTGAAAGGGCACCAGTGAATGCAAAGATGGTTAGTGAATTTTATTTCTGATCTCTTTTACCCAATACTAAATGGTAGGAGCTACAGTATGATTGTGTTTAAAATTTAAGAGAGTGGTGTTCTTCAAGCGTTAATTATTTTTCCTTGATGTCTGTTTTAACACAATTATTAATTTCAGGTAAAGAGCAGATTCACTACTGGCGCAGCTTCGAGGTCTTTCACTTCTACTGCCTTTACTCCTGTTACTGAAAATGAATATGAATATGTCAAAGTTGAGAAGAATCCAAAAAAGAAAGGATATGTACAGATACATACAACACATGGTGATCTGAACATTGAGCTACACTGTGATATAGCCCCCAGAGCTTGCGAGAACTTCATCACTCTTTGTGAACGTGCCTATTATAAAGGAGTAGGTTTTCATAGAAGCATTAGGTATGGTGATATTCTTTAGTTTAAAATCCGTGTTAATGTTAAATTCTTTTTGTGAATGAAAATAGCAATGGTTAACAATCTATGATGCTCTTTTCTGTGTAGGAATTTTATGATTCAAGGTGGTGATCCTACTGGAACCGGGACAGGAGGGGAATCTATATGGGGAAAGCCTTTTAATGATGAAGTGAACTCCAAGTTACTTCACTCTGGAAGGGGTGTTGTCAGCATGGCTAACAGTGGGCCGCACACTAATGGCTCCCAATTTTTCATCCTTTACAAATCTGCAAATCATTTGAACTACAAGCACACGGTTTTTGGTGGAGTTGTTGGTGGCTTGACCACGTTGGCAGCAATGGAAAAGGTTCCTGTTGATGACAATGACCGACCTTTGGTAAGTTTATAGTTTCTCTTTTATCAAAACTAGAGATCTACATTCATGCTTTATAATTTTTGGCTTTTCAAATTAGTTTTCATGTCTATTGATTTGATTGTAAGCATTTTATCAGGCGTGCATCATCCTAATAAGAATCATCCATCTACTTATGTGTTTTGAAATGTTTAATACTGTTTCAAATTGTTACTCTCAGTCTAGATCATGGGGGTAAGGCTAGCCGACATTCATCTCTCCCAGACCCTGTGTAAAGCGGGAGCCTTGTGCACTGGGTACGACCTTTTTTTAGTCTAGATCATGCTGGCTAGACTTTATGGAAAGCCCTAACGTAATATTGTTAGTTCTCTTTACCATTTTATAAAAAAACTAGTTCCCGCTTGTTGCAGAGTTTGTGTATCTGTCTTTGTGCATGCACACATGTTAGTCACCGCAACATATAACTTACTGAATCACATGTTTTTTTTCCAACCAAGATCAATCTCCTGCGTTCCGAGGGCTCACTTTCTTTTTTTCTGCTGTCTTATGCAGGAGGAAATTAAGATAACAAGCGTCACCATTTTTGTTAACCCTTACACGGAACCTGATGAAGAAGAAGAAGAAAAGGCCAAAGCTGAGGAGAAAGCTCAGGATGAAGATAATGTTTGTTACTAGACCCTTAAATTTGTGCCCGTGCATTTTTTAACTTTGTTCCGTTCTTTACAATAATAAAACACCTTATTTTCTGTTATTTTCAGGACAAGGTCGGGTCTTGGTATAGCAACCCTGGTACGGGGACAGAATCTGGCCCTGGCGGTGGTGGCGGTGTTGGGAAGTATTTGAAAGCAAAGAATGCTCTACCTGAATCCGCAGCTGTTGATGCTGGTCTGCAAGAGCTTCCTTCGACAAAGAAAAGAAAATCAGGAGTTTCCGCGTCAAATTTTAATGATTTTTCTTCATGGTAGTCGGTAAATATCCCAAATGTTGTATTCAATGTATTGTACCATATGTAGATAATGTTTTGGAGGAGTGAGTACTCAGAGCAGAGCATCGTAACCTAATTTTTTTGAGGTATACAAAGAGCAGATCGAACGTCCGAGCAATAAAAAACATAGCTTATGGATGTTCTTGAAAGTAACAAAACCAAAAGTTTTCAATTAGTAATTTGGAATTAGAATCAAATAACAAAAGTTTTCATTAGGACTTCTAGTGTAATGGTGAACGCTCTCAACCATTTGAGCTCGCTTTACTTTCTCAGTCCTGCTCTTCAAAGGTTGTCATTTGAGGACATGTAAGAACCAAATGCATCTTAACTATTAGATTACATTAGTTTATATTCAAAGGCTTAAAATATTTGGAAAAGTTGATATGTAAGGTGATGCTTAAGTTACAACCGGGTTTAAAAATTAAAAAAAAAAACCCAAAATCAGAAACCCAATTATTACTTTGAATTATCCAATGAAGAGAAGCACCAAGGGTTCTCTTCATTGTAGTAATTTTTTTTTTGACATGAAAAGTAAGTACCATAAGAACCAAGCTTTATTTTATTAGTGAGGTCGACTGTATAAATTTAAACATGAAAAATAAATAAATAAATAGAAAAACAAACCAAGGGCATGAGATTGGATCGCTGCATACGCTTACACCATGCCAACTATCCAGTGCACCTACTATTTGAATATTAAAATGTTAGATTGCTTATAAAAAGCAAAATAATTTTGCCAATATATGTAAAATACATGCAAATAATTTACCTACATAATAAGCAAACCCAAAATATACAAAATACATGCAAAATAATGTACCAACTTCAAAAGTATTATTATTTTATTCAATACTAGTTTACCTATTATTTGTACATATAATAATAAAATGTGCCCAATATATATTATGATACATACAAAATAAAATACCTACATAACGAAGAAATGCTATTTGATTCAAAATTAATTTACTTTATTAATTTACCTATTATTTGTTGTCACAGCCGGTCCCGAATTATTTAGTTTCGACGGTGTGAAATGACAATTTTACCTTTGGACTTTGAGATTGTGATGTGTGTGGCATGCTTTAGGGGCATACACTATTATGTTGAGTTCCTAAGTTTTGGACTCAATTAAAAAAAAGTTAAACTTTGTTTGGTGACCAAGTGAGGACACACACAAAAGCACCCCGTGCACTCTCTCTCTCTCCTTCTCTCGGCCTTCCTACCATTTCCGTACAAAACATACGGACAAACAACAAACTCACATTTCACACACGGATCGACGTCAAGAAGGTAAGATTCGAACTCCTTGCAAGTCTCTGAGTTCATATATGCCATTTTTAGATCGTGAAACCCTCAAAACCCTGAGAAACCATCACCCCTGATTTGAGTATTGTTCATGTGGTCATAATTATGGATGTTTCAAGGGATTTTAAGCTCGTAGGAAGCTTTAGGACGTTCTTACGAATCTCGGAGAAGAAAAACCAAGCAAATTGGACGTCGGGAAGTCGAGTTTGGCAAGTTTGAAATTTGGCCGAAGTTATCGTGCCTTCTCCAGCGAGATCCCATGAATTTTGGAGCTTGAAATTGGTAAGAATGTGTTCTACTCGTTGTAAGCTTCAATTTGGTTTAAGTTTCATGAATTTTGGTGCAAAAATGAAGAAGTTATAAGGATTTTTAGGTTTTCCAGTTTCCGGCGACGGCAATGGTCGCTGGAGTTCGAAGGTAGGAGATGACGAAATATTCCATCAATTTTGAAGGAATATTCCTAACGGCGACTAACAGTGTTAGTTAATTTTAACGAAATATTCCTTAATTTTAACAGAATATTCCTAACAGCCGCTAGGCCTCAGTCAAGGTTTGGCCGCACGTGGGGGCGTGTAGGACCGTGCCCTTGCCGGTGCGTGACGGCGCATGAGGGCTCCAAAAATTATTTTAAAATTTTGGGTGTGTTCATGGAGTTGTTTAGGTCACAATGGTATATTTATATACCTCATTTGAGCAATGTATGAGAAGTTATTACCTAGTATTGGTTATGTACTTTAAATTAACGTTTTTATAGTTGTTTCGCATATAGGGGAGACTTATCCCGAGGACGAGCGCAGTCAAGGGCGACTCGGGGGCTACGACCCTTCTACATACCAGTGAGTGGGCTTTTGATTTTCAGTATATATTTATATACTTGATATTTTCCCAGAAAATGCGTTTAAATGAAAGTATGCTTTGAAATGCCATGCATATAAATTTATATTCAACATATGAATTAGTATATGATGCATAATATGAATTGGTGTTGTGGACGCTCAGGTAAGTACTAGGTGAGTTATGTTTAATTATATGAGATATTGATAATGTGAGATGTAACTGAGAGCTCATAAACCTGCACCCCGGATGATTGTGATTTAGTCAGAGATATAGTACAAGCCTATTTATAATGTCACATCCCACACCATATGCTCACATTGGATCCAATTTAAGTGCACAGTCTTGTCGTACAGACCATTATAGGTGGTTCCGACTCGTAGGTGACTAGAAATTTATCGCATAGCTATCATGAGAGCGTAGCATTGAGTATAATTATATTACACCCAGTCTTGTCGTATAGACCGTTACTGTGGTTCCGACTCGTGTGCAATGTAGTGCGGTATAGGTCACTTGCAGTAACTCCGGCTAGATTGACTAATGATCTATGAATTCAGCCGTACAAACTTCTGCATGGGTTCTGGCTAATATGTTAATTATCCATGAATTTATTTTCACCTGAGTTACTTATTCTGTTTTATATTTTGGCATGGCCTACTTATGAATATGAATATGTGAAGCATGATATATATATATATATATATATATATATATTCTATTTCTGGGAAAATTATACATGTTTTACGGCGAGGGGTTAGAGCATTTGATAATGAAATAGTTTTGAAAAGCTTTATTTTTGCCCACTCACACTTTCTGTTTTGTGCCCTTCTAGGTTTTAGTTAAGCTTGTTTGTTGGTGGCTCACGAGGATTGATTGGAGGTTCTGACAAACTATCACAAATATAGGACATCTTTGGGTGTCGTTTAATTAGTACTTATCTTCTGAACTGAACTTAGACTACTTACGCTCTAATTGTGTAGTCACACATTTTCTAGCACTTACCTTAGCTAGTACTCTTATGAATTTGGCTTTTATTTATTCGTATTCTCTATTATCATTATTACTTCCGCACTGTGCACATGACTACGTCACTCTCACGTGACGGCCAACATGTCTTGATTTGGGTCGGGGTGTGTCATTTGTACATATATCTTATAATAAGAAAATGTGTCAAATATATGTAATAATGCATGGAAAACAAATTACCTACAAAATAAAAGAATGTTATTTGATTCAATATTGATTTACTTACAAAATAAATGTTATTTGCTCCTCATAAATTTACATATAGGTAGATTACTTAGTATAATAAGTTTGATCATATATGTAGTACTGTACATACATATATAGAATATATATATACATACATATATATGTATACATATAGGTAAACTATGTATATATATTTGAATGTATAGTAGTACAATATATACGTAAACTATGTATATATAATTGAGCTTATGGTAGTACTATATACATTTGAACATGTGTGTGTGTGTGTGTGTGAACATTTATTTATTTATTTTGAATACTATGGTACAATTTGTAAATATTTTGTAGTTATAGATCAATTACTTTTCTACTTTACAGTCATTTTCAAATTTGGGTTTTATTTGGATATTTATAATTAGGTGGATTTTTGTCTAGAAAATAAGATGTGCAAAGGTTTATATCTAAAGAACTCTAAAAAAAATTGAGTGCTGGATTGTCTTGCTAGATAAGTTTTTTTCTTCAACCTATTGTGTTTTGGATTCAAACTCTCTCAGTTCTTCTTCTCTTTTGTGTAGCTTAAACTAGTATTATTTTCATTTGTTTGGAAAGCCTAGTATTATTGTTTGTAATAAAAAAATGTTTACTAAAAGTATAGAACAAGCTGCAAACTAAATTGAATTTAGGATACTACAAATATTGAATAGAGAAGGGTGTGTTCATGCACGTGCATACTGCATGCTTTCTCTAGTGATGACAGGTGCGTACATGGAACATATCTCTGAATCACTACATGGTGTTCAAGGCAATCTCTCTTTTTCAGAACATATCTCAGAAATTTGATGACAAAGTTGCACAAAAAATGAAATTAAAGAACTTGAAGTATCATCGAACGATTTCTGCAATTTGATATCGTATTTCAAACATTTAATTGATTTGCAAATTGTATTTTTCATCTAATTGATTGGCAAATTGTGTTTCCATGTATTGGACAGGCTCATTAATCATATTAGTACCAAATGAAAATGCAATTTATATAAACTATCAACAGTTAATAAACATGTACATGGAATAGTTTACGATGTGGACTTTAGAGTTCTATATCCTTCATTTTTTGTTACAAAGGGGGACCAAAGCTTGAGTAAGACGCAAATAACTAAAAATTAGGTTTTCTATCAATTACGTGGGATTAGACTAGTTGATATGATTCCCTTGCCTTACCTTGTCTGATTTTAAGTTCTCAGATTCCTTCCATTTTCCATTTTTGTTAAGTAAACATGTTCAATCACCCGAGTTCAAAAAACTCCAACAATATCATTTAGTAGTAAGTGAACAATCAATAGAGGAGATCATCAAAACAAAGCATTGCCCAGGTCCATGAAGTGCTCTATATATCTTGTTTGGATGGAGCTCTACTTAATCATGTAGTTAAATTATTTCAAACATCACTCCACAACAATATTTTATTTTATTAAAGAAAAGACTCAATTTAGTTAACAACTCTCAATTAACCCCACAGGTACGGCCTCCTAACATCATCAACACAAAAAGGTTATTATATTAATTAGTTCCTAAGAATGATTAATTAAGAAAAAAAGACATGGTCATGACTGCAACTTTGTAACCAGGGGCCTACAATTTTCAGTTTCCATAACAAATTAAGAAGATAAACTCTTGAAACACATGATTTGATGATAAGTGTGTTGGTCTAAGTACTCCCAATTAATTATTTCTTCAAGTTTAACCATATTCCCACTTTCCTTTAACTAATAAAAGATAATAGTTTTCCAA